CTATCGTTCTCATTGTCAACTTTACTTTGTGTAGTAGTGGCAGATGTTTTGAAGACATTGATCGTCATTTCTCCATTTTCTTCGAGTTCATATTGTACGCCTTTCAGAAGAAGCGCTTCTTTGATAACAGAGCGTTAGGTAATTCTTTTTTGATTCTTTAGAAGTCAGGAAAGAAATGTCAAAAGAAAAAATGCATGATATCCTTTTTTTCATAAATTAGTATAGAAGCTCATTCTCTATGTGGTTATTCATTTTTCCTGCTAATCTCGGCTATCTCAACTACTCTGCATAATAAAAACTTAAAACGGGGTGTAGACGATTAGATCTTACTCTTGCCACTTATCGGCATCCTGCAGAAAGACCGCGCAAATTTGCAGGACAAGCCAATATTTTATATAAAAATCGTCTGCAGGGATAGCGCACTGAAAGGACCCCACATCAACTGTAAAAAAAAGACTTTTTTGGCCAATGCAGTGGAACAGCAATTTAAATTCAAATAAAAAAAAGATTAAGGAACGTACATTCACACATTTTTCTGTGGCACCTTGTATTTTCATATAATTTCTTTTTTTATAAAGTAAAACATGTTAGGCGACAGTCACCACGCTGATCCCTTTGCTCAAACTGATCCGTTTGCTGCAGCTGCCGCAACAGGTAGAAAATCAACTCTTAGTAAAAATAGTCTTTATTGTTGGGTTTTGAGGCACTTTCGCTGTTCAATTTCCTCAAGATCCTTTCGCTGGAGCCGCTAGTATGGGAGCGTCACCCGTAAGTCTAGATACAATTGTTTTTACTTATCATGAATTATTGTTGTTGTTCTAGGAAACTGCAACATCAGGAAAAGCTCCACCACCACGTCCCGCACCGCCGAAATCTAGCGCACGGCAAACACCCAATGGCGATCCGTTTGCTAACACGTAAGTTTTCCCAGTAATCAAAGGCTTCTTTCTATATCATCAAATCTCAAATATATTTTTCATAGAGATCCGTTTGCTGCTGAATCGACAAACGTACCCGGTGGATTTGCTGACTTCTCTAGCTTTGGTGCTTTCTCGTAAATTTTGCAATGCTCTGGGTGTCGCATCATCTGTAGATAGTCAAACTGGAAAGCAATTTTTTCATGCCATATTCATTAATTTATTGTTTGAATTCAATGCGTGAAATATTTAGAAATTGTAGTCATTCACTTTTAGTTTTGCTAGTTTCTCTTCTAATTGAAGTAGTTCCATGAATGGACTTATTTTTTTCCATGAACCAATATGTAAACTGCGAAGAATCTAAATAAATTTAATTGCAGAGACAAACACCACAAAACATTTATCTGCATCTGCACGTGTGTGTGCCAGAACGTTGATGTTTGCACTATAGTATGTTTCTATAGAGAAACATGGAAATAATAAGAGAAACTGATGAGGTATGCGATATGCGAATAAAAATTTGTATAAAAATTCAACTAATAGAGAGGAAAACAACTTGGAAAGGATAAAACTAAGTTATCATCGACTAGCGAAAATTATTGCATGTGCAAAAAGCCATCGATAACTTACAAAATCTGATAAACTGAGAAGGAAGTGAGTAAGAACTTGTTAACCGTACCGCACCCAAAGACTATAGAACTTGCTAAAATGGTTCTCACAGTTACATCACAGTTGAGTTCTGTAACTTTTGCACAACTTTGCATCAAGCTTGAATCTAGTTAAAGGGAGAGGATTATGAGTGAAAAGGGGCCAAAATAGATAGAACAATAGCAAAAGTAAAGAATACTGATTAGGTGGCACGGACTAGCTTGATGGAGTTTGAAATAATACGAAGGTGCTTTCAATGTGGGGCACG